TGCCAATGTCAGCATCAAGCCCCACGGTTCTTAACACAGGAGACCCAACAATGAGTGGACAAGTCATGGACATTCATGCTCAGTAGCTTAAGGGAATATGCATTGTCTGCAATGGTGACTGATTTCAAATCATGTTTTTTCTGCAATGACTATGGAGTTCCATTCTTGGCATCTACTTTGGACCAAGGAGCATCCCTAATTCTTCATAGGGACTCTTAAAAAGCAGGAAATATCAACCGAAGTCAATTTGGGGGACATGCTAAGTAACTATATAAGACATTAAGAGAACAAAGAGTGAAATATTGTAAATGCTATTATACTGTTATCCATATTACGTTGTTTCTTATAGATTTTTTAAAAAAAAATGTGAAATTTTTCCACACTATGTGTGTTGTTTCCATAGCTCTTCACTTCCTCCAGAAGCCTCCTTACATTAAAAAGCCTTACAGTTATCCTGCAAGGGACAGGAAGGTCTGATTTGCAGGATTTTTAGAGCATTAAAATAACTATCAGGCAGAAGAATCTTTCTTCTCACCTAGGATTTCAGCCATGCGCACTCTCTCTCTTTCTCTCTTTTCCTCTCTCTTCCTCTCTCTAGCCTGGGGCTTGAATTTGCATGTCTAATTCATTTACTCACCATATTTGAATTGGCCTGAACAGATGTAAATTGGGAAGGATGGGAAAACTGCAGTCATCCACAATGATTACTCAGCTGTTGCAGGCAGTGTCTTAAGGAGACTGGTAGAAGGAGGCATGGAAACCAAAAGGCCGTGTGTTTAGAAGCCTAATTGTCACATCAAGCGTCATTGTCCCCATGCAACAACCACCACCGTATACATCACTTCCTGTTTTATGCAGCTCGAAAACATAGACTGAAGATTTATTTTTAATATGTTGACTTTATTTCTGAGCAAAGCATCGGTCATGTGTGTATTTTTCCATAGTCCCACCTTGGAGCATTTATGTAGACATTGTAAATAAATTTTGTGCAAAAAGGACTGGAAAAATGAACTGTATTATTGCAATTTTTTTGGTAAAAGTAGCCGTTTGGTATGAGTTGGCATGCATACAAGATTTACTAAGTGGGATAAGCTAATTATACTTTTTGTTGTGGATAAACAAATGCTTGTGGATAGCCTTTTTCTATCAAGAAACCAAGGAGCTAATTATTAATAACAATCATCGCACACTGAGTCTTAGCGTTTCGGACGGAAACAGTTTGGCTTGTATCATAACGCCCATGCCGGTTTGTAGTTGTTTGAGTGCAGTCATGAAATCTGAATCTAAAATAAAAACAAGATTATTTTTGTCATGCTGACTCCACTGCTTGAAAAATTTGTTTACTGCCCCCCCCCCAAATTTTTAATGATGAATGCAGTAAATGTGAAATTAATTTTAGCTCCGCAAGGCATATCTATTTGAAAATTGTAACCACCAAGTAAATTATTTAATAATAATCACTGATTTCTTTAAGTGGACTTAATGAACTCTTAATATCAACACATTTAAGGCCTAAGGGCACTAAACTGACTGTAGACCCATGACATCCAACAGAATTAGTCATCTAATATCAGTGAAATTCTTCTTGCCCATAATGATGACTCTAAGTACAGAGCTCAATCTCCCACTAAGGACGTTACCTAGGATAAGCAGTATGTGTTTATTAGGAAATTAACTATGTGAATTGAAGAGACCAGACTTCAAAATCTAATTTTTTTAAATATACTCTATGTTCTCATTGGATAAAAACTGGTTATTAACCAATTTTCCAGAACAGCTGTACAGAATTTCTGCATGGCAGCCAGCTAAGTGGTACAAAATAACATGTTTAAGCTGGAACAGTTTATAATTTTATTTAAATAAAATGGCTGCTATAAAAAGTGCTTCGCGAAGCTAAGGAAAATATACAAATATTTTAATTAAGGCAAATTTGTTTAAAAAAAAAAAGCCTTTTAGCAGTGATTGCTTTGTAAACAAAGGATGGGTCGGAGAAGAGCGCCTTAAACTCGAGTCTGACTTGCAGGCCCATGTCACCCTATAAACCCGCCCTCAACAAGTCTAGTTTCTATCTGAAAAGAGAAACCAGCTGTTGGTTGGGTTTACGAGGTGACGTGCGATTGATTGGCTCACCTGCTGGAGCAGCAGCGCGCTCCCACCTTTTGTTTATGGGGCCTGGTTTCTAAACACGTGGATGTGTAGAAAGAGAAAGAGGCTCAACCTTCGAGAGCCTTCTCGGTGAGCGCCCTCCACGCCACCCCCACCCCCTCGACGGGCTTGTTTAAATTTCCCAGTTTGACCCAGCGGCCATTCTTCGTCTACGTAAAGAGTCCACATTAGTGAAACCATTCTCTTCTGATAGGTGGTTACTAGCAGTTAACAACCATTTATTTACTTTTAAAATTAATAATAAACTTTATAAACCAACCATCCATCTGCCCCTCCTCCCCTCGTACTTGGCAGGGTGAGTTGGGTTTTTTCAGCCTTTCTTCTTGTGGAGGCT